CGTTCTCAATTTACACGTCCCCTTTCGCTCAAAGGAAGCCTTGTAAAAGCCTTCGCCAGCTGTGTGTTGACTGGACTTTGGCGTTGACCGTGGAGCAGCTTATTTACTATTGAAATTTGAACAAATATTCAAATGATTATAACTTTCTTCAAAGTTAACGAATTTTCAATCTGAAAGCTGATTTGGGAGTTTTGTGAAGAGCTTTTTCTAATCAGTACTGAAATTACAGGAAGTTATAAGAAATAACAAATTTAGATCAAATAACGAGGAAAATTCGAGACGAGCACGAGTTTTTACACTTTCCGGAGCAATAACTTGCTTCATTTCCGTCAAATTCAAAAAGTTGATACGTCATACAAAACTAGAAGATTTTCTCTATCAAACGGTCGCTAAAGCAGCTTCATACGTCCAGTACTCAAAAAATGGCCACGTTGAGGATTTTTGCAAAATTAACGAGGAAAATTCGTGATGAGTGCGAGTTTTTACGCTTTCCAAAGCCATAACTCCGTTCAAACTCATGCAATCTGGAAAGTTAATACGTCATCATAAACTAGAAGATTTGCTCTTTCTAGAGGCAACTAAAACTGCTAAATACGTTCACTATTTAAAAAATGGCCACGTTGAGGATTTTTGCCCGAGTACCGCCGAAAGGTACTTTTTCGCTACATTAGCACTATCCCAACGACTATAGCTCCTTGCAGGAGCGATTACATACTGAAGTAGGAGCAGATTCAAAATCCTCGTGCTTTTCTCTCTGCAAAAAGTGTAAAATTGTTTAGCGGGTCTCAACTTTAAAGGTTACATGCTTGTGAATTTGACGCTGAAGGCTGCGTTTCTTGTTGAATAGTGTACTCCTCTCTGTAATTTAACATAGAACTCTTTCAGAACCCTCTTGATTCTTCCTGAATTAAGATTCGTTATCACGTAGCCGTAGCTGAAGCGCGCGCAACAAAACTGGGCCCACTCTGGGATGCGCCGTGTGCTTCACATCTCGTTGGATTTGAGGACCTACTTGAAAGATAAAATATCCCTAGAAAACGTGCGAATTTCGGATCCTTTGACTTGTGTGGTGATGAAACACTAAAGTCACTAAGAATTGCTAAGCGGACACCTCTAAATCACGAAGATTTTGTGTGGACGGAATCAATTGTTATTGGAAATACTCTGGCCTGGTATCGATTCGATCCTTAATGTTTGTCCTCCGACGATGATCCTACTGTATCAATCGGGCCCGATCTCTCCCCAGCGGGCCAATACGACCCCCCCCTCTGTGACATGTCGAGGATTCCTCAACGCACGCTTGACCCTGCTCCCTGGGTCAGGCTTGGTTCCCCCAAGCAGAAAATTCAATGTGTGTGTCTATCACGTCCTCTTGCCTTGGAACTGATTTCTCGCCACTGAAATGCGTTTTCGGGTGATTCAGTGGTATCGAGCGCTGCTTAGATGAAAAATCTTCGTTGATGAATGGCCAAGGGATATTTGGAATGTAAAAATGTCAGAAGCTCATCTATGCAACTAGATTAAACGTGTTATACAACATCCACTTCAAATATGCTTTTTTATCGTAAACGAACAATGAGAAACCATTGCTTGTGAACATTTATATTGTAAGCAATACGAGGTGCTGCACAGTGGAAGGGTAACGAAGAACTTTGTATCAGTGATCAAACAATTGCAATAGGGAAAAGTTGATCATGATTCTGAAATGTAGGCTAGCATCGGTAGGGTGACACAATAACAGGATGATGCTGTTTATTAGGCGGAAGCCAATTTGATGGTTGACATTTTATTCATATCGACAATATTCTAGATCAAGTCCAAAGGGGGACGATTGTTGGAGTTCCGACGTTGAGCAGCTCGCTCTCCGCACAGTAGTGTCCAGTTGGAACCAGTACAGCTCTTCGTATGCGTGTTTCGACTGTGTTCCTTTCTTGTACAGAACACAAATTCCGATCTCAAATAGAAAAGTCGCATGAGAGAATTTCATCAGAAGAGATCAGAAAACACTGATATGCAAAACACCATCGAGGTCCTACAGGCCGCTGGGCGAAAGTTCACTTGCAGTAATTCAGTCTTCGAAAGAAAGGACCGATCAATGTTAAGGGCATTGGCGGACACACTTTTTTCGCTCTCCCTTATTTTCTAGTGGACCACTTCACTTGATATGCATTTTCAGAAGAAATGACTATTTTTTGATTGTGATGTAGTGGTGAGGTTGTAGTTTGTGAGGAATGCGTTCTTCTAAAAGCGATGGCTTGTTGGACTTTTTCGCTTATGCATATAGTTGACATTCAAAAACCTACAGTTTCTCCATCAGAACAATTGTACGAAACCCATTGACACATTGGTGTTCTTGCAACAAATGTCAAGGCAGCGTTCAATGTTTTTATATCCCGGGTAATAAAACATTCCACTGATATTGTGGATCACTGCGCCAGGCTGGAGCATTATGAATGTGCAGGAACGAGCTGGAGTTACCTAAAATAGAAACTGATTCGTTTTAAAGAGACATTGCGATGCACCATCTGTTACTGAGGTATATAGCTACTTTGAGAGGGTGATGATCTTTTCAATAGGACCCAGCTTCTGCATAGGAGGCAAAAATTGTTCAGGAGCGCTGTTAGGGCACTCTTTCCGATTTCACATCCTCAAACGAATGGCTCTCCTATCCCTTGATTTCAGCGTGCTGGACCATCCTATGTGGGCTATGTTAGAGGGCAAAAGCTTGCACTAAAGAACGCATTCCACATGAATGAGCCGTGACCTTTTCTCTGCAAAGACCGAAGAGAACACCCCAGGATGCCATGCGGGCCACAGTTTCGAAGCAATTGGGAGCCATACTCACAACAACAGGGGAGCATATCCAATGAATGTCATTCCTTTCAATATGTAAATGTATTGCTAAAATTTTTGTAAAACCTCTTGAAGATACATCCATTTTGAAAGAAGTTACAAGTAAAGAAAAGTGGTGCAATATTTATGGGACACCCTGTATTTACTGTGCGAAAATGTGTGCGTTTTTTCATTGGGCATGGTATTGCGCAATACTTGCAGTACTGTGACGCTACTTCACCTGATGAGGTATAACTAATGGTCGAAGAGAGGGTTTTGATCCGATATACCCAGTTCACTTCACCAAGAGCGGATGCGATGATTGCTCCGATTTAATCCTGGGTGTACTAACCTCCTCATCGCGTGGCAACATGCAGTGCTATAATCGAAACCACGAAGCCGAAGTAAGCACCAGTTTTGCGACCATGATCTCAGTCATCGATATTTTGTTCACCTGCTGCTTCCGTAATTGTTATGTAAGCGACCTCGCATTGAAAAAAGCCACCACGAGAAAGCAGTATCCTGGCGCATCCCGAGGAAACTGATAAACATAAAAGGCTTCATCATTCCACTCATTTTTCCTTTTGCATCCATAACATACCATACAGTGTATAGTATTTCGAAAGTATTTGGACACCTCACAATTCGCGTTGAGAAAAGTAACCAACAAGGGAGGTCTTTCAGGGCAAGGTGCGCTTTTTGGAAACGGTTTAGTACATGTTGTAGGGACGCATGTATGGACCACAAAACCATGTTTCGTTTTCGCTGAACGGTTTTAGTAGTACCAAAAAATGGTGCTCTTGATGGTTCAATCCCGCGGCGACTAAATTTTGCAATCAAGGTTGGCGGCCACTTGTTGGCTTCAAAATGGTCCTGACGATGAATTTGACATCTGATTTTGATATTTAGCGCGATTTGGCACCAAACCGTAGGCGCCAACCCAAATGCAAAATTTAGTCGCCACGGGGGATCGAACCCTTAACAGTACCTTATGCTTCTTTTTTGGTACTGCTATAACCGTTCAGCGAAAATGAAACATGGTTTTGCGTTCCCTACATGCGTCCCTACAATATGCACAAAACCGTTTTGAAAAAGCGCACCTTGCCCTGAAAGACCTCCCTTGTAAGAGGCTTCGTGCTATGAAAACCCTTCTCAATCGATTCCCTGTAGTTGTATTGCCTTGCTTTAAAGAAAAATGAATTTAAATTTCTTTGTTTCAAAAGTATGTGCACACTTAACAAAAGACAAAAACATAGCTGAGATTAGAAATCAGTGGGGCCTCCAGAGTTTCTAATTAGCTCAAACATCCTGTCCGGCATAATCTGAACCACGTTTGGCATAGCTGTTTCGTCGCTGTCGGCCCAAATAGCCTCTACCGCCGCCTTCAGTTCATCCGCGGTATTATACTGCCGGTTGCTAAAGTTAACGCCTTGATCAAGGGCTCCCTATAGGGTTGCAGTAAGGAGGACACACATGATCTATCGCTTCAGCACCATTTCGTTTGAGCCATTCTTTGGTAGATTGCGAAGCATTGACAGACACGTGGTCCTGTTGCTAAATGCAATTTTCGCTGCCGCTCCGCTAAGAAAAGGCAACAGGTGATATTGGAGCACTGCTTGGTATTCTTTACTGTTCATACGCAATAATGGAACGGCAACTTCCAACTTCCCGCTGCTTGCGAAACCGCCCCAGACCCATCAACGGGCCTCTCCGAAATTCCTCTCGAGAACACGAGCGACTCACGGCCAAGCCTCCAGCAGTAGCAAAATCCACCCGGCCCGTCAAGATCGAACTCTTTCCATGAGTTAAGATTACCTGAGGAGAGAAAGTCATAAAAAGTTGCTTGTTTTGAAAATAGGAAATTCTCGAAAAACCGTGTCTTCGCCCGGTGTCCTATCCTATGTTGCCATGTCTGTACGAGCAGACTCCAATGTGCTAACTTGTGCTGGGCCTTGAAGTGAGTAGCCTTTCTCAGCGTCTGTCGAGTGGTGTATTCATTTGAGCGGATGAGGGGCTTAGTGGTCATTTTCGAGGCTGGAATAAAAATCTGAGCTCGGACTGTCAATGAAGAATCCGACAGGATGTGGGCTACTCTTTTGTTGTTCTGAGCAGTCAAGGATCGTGGATGGAGCGGAGTGTGTGCTGAGTATAATTATCAGGGTGCCGGATAAATCTTCCAATGCATTAAGGAGAACGACCAAGTTATCGTGCGATTTCTAGATTGGAACGTTCATTATCATGCAGAACCTTGATCTGAGCTTGCTCATCTTCAGGAAGAAGTATGGCGCGAATTGACATGATGACGAAATGAAAACAGCAAAGTCGGATTGAAATCGGTGGAAATTTCGGCGCCAAAATCTGATCTCCTTCAAGTGTGCACATACTTTTGAAACAAAGAAGAAAATTCAATTCAAAATTTTTTTACTAAAGCAAGGCGATATTATCTGCTAAACTACACTGATACGTTATCGATTGAGGAGGGTTGCATAGCACGAAGCCTCTTAGTTACCTTTTTATTGTGAATTGTGAGGTGTCCACATACTTTTGAAACGCCCTGTATTGGTGCCAGTGCCTACGATTATCTGAACAGTTTTCAGCAAAAAATCCGCGGAGTTGCATGAGCTGATAACAATGCGTGAAGGCTTTTTGTTAAAGGCAAGATTCAGGATTAAATTGATGAGGTAATTCCACTCAAATGTGAAAGTAGGGGTAGGAAGTGGACCGCCAGTGGAGAAAAAAGGAAAAAAATCGTGAAATACACAGGAAATACGAGCCTTTTGCTCTACGCTGCGGAGAAGTTCAAAAGGCCGGCAGGGAGATGAGAGATAATGTGAGCGCGGAGAGCGCTAGAGAAGTCGAGTAGAGAGAGCATAGCAGATCAACATTAGCGACGCAGACAAGATATCGAGCGTGTCGGCAGGTGGAGCGTGTCAAAGTTCTTAGCGCCTAGCGTCTAAATAACGCTTTTCGAAGTAGGGAAGTGACGCGACCTCTACACTTGCGTACCTAGCGCTTCTAGCCACCGTAAAGGCTCATTAAGTGGGTCTGAGCCCGAACTTTGCCTTTAAGCATCTGAACAGGAACAATCTGAAAGAAGGACCACTCGGAATTCCGCAGGCCAACGTAGCGCAACGGCAGAAGCAAAGGAAGGGCAAATACAGACGACATTACTAGAAATTGCATCGCACTGATGTTTAACACGACCGAATTCAAGAGACAACCTTCGTATGTTTTACCATCCGCTGCTTCACCATTGGGCGACTCGCTCTGAAAAAATCTCGAAACTACTACTTTGCTCCCGTAGGAAATAATCTCATGGTGCCTCGTGACCTCCAGGAAGGAAAAATTCGCATGAAGAATACTCAGTGCAACATTTCTTCAGCGATTACGAGAAAAAATGTAGACTGAAAGGAACCTCTCGATGGAAAGCAAGGATAGTGCAGTCAGGGGTTTCGTAGCGTTGCTTGAAACATCTTCAATACCAAAGCTGCTGTGTTCAGATTTACTAAAGCAAATTTCATGTTGGTGAAACGTGTACCGCTGAATATTTTGAAAGAGCAGGGTGGTTCGGGAGTCTCCAGAAATAGCAAAAGCAGTGAATTTTGACTTGTCTTGTTGCGTTCCTGATTCACTGCGGTTTTTGGAAGCAGTTCGCTTGCGACTGTTTCACAAGGATGCTTTCTTTCATTTATGCTCTCCCAAAGCTTTCATTACTGAAACTTTCAGCTTAAGTAATGAAAGCTAGCGTCATTTTCGATATCGGCTAACCGGCTCAACACGTTATACGTGTGAGTGCTGACAAGCTATGGTACGTATACCATGAAAAGCTGAGTTGGAATGAAATGGTGCCCCGGTAGCGTAACTGGTAGCGCACTTGCCCGGAAAGCGAGAGGTGCGGGTTCGAGTCCCGTCTGGGGCGAAAGTTTTGTTCACAACCCAGCCTTGTGAAAGCAAAAACTGATTGATTAAAGGTCTGTTGCGCCAAAAACCAGGTAATCTTCTGATGTGTTTGATTTTTTACAGGAATGTTCCACGAAAAAAAAAACTTGGCTCCATGCTCACCACAAGGTGATGTCTCAGCTCCTTGCTTAACGAGGATAGCAAAGAGAGCAAGAGGGAGCATTTGTCTTGATGCTGATTCGAGCGATAGGGTAGGCCGTAAGAAATTGAATTCCCATCGTAAAAATTCACAACTGTTGGCGCTGGTGAGCTAGCATAGTCAGATGTGTGAAAGCGTGAAAGTGAACAGGTTCTTATGGCAAACCTCCACTTTGCGGTCTGCCCTACCATGGCAGATGGCGCCCAGCAAATGGGGAGGAACAACTTTTTCGAGGACGATTCATTCGATTCGTTATTGGAATTGTGTTAAGAAATGCAAATGTCATAAACGACAACTTAGGTTACGGTAACTTAGCTCCAATCCGGGTAAAAGGTGGGTATGAAATCTCAGGAGATAGAAGCTGTTGGACTGATCATTATGGAATTTTACCTGCGAGAGATGCAGGAGCATGAAAAATGCTGTGACGCGAAGCGCAGAGAAGCACATTGTTACTAAAATTCACCACTGTCGGTTGAATTCGAAGAGGGCGTCCAACCATGAGCACATTACCTCGAGGAAGAACACAAGCACAACGACCCATTAGAAAGCCAGTCGCCAGACGGATGTATTGTGTTGCTAGACTTCCTCAATTCAAGTGGATTGTAGCGCTATTATTCCAACCATTCCTCAGGGAAATATACTACGCACATCCCGAAGAAGCTCAAGCGATGTCGTTAATATTCATGCCTAGGAGACGGAATTTGACTTCCTAGAGACCGCAGGCAAATCTGTTCGGTGCTAAAAAGCATCTTCGAGATTTACCATACCGTAGACTTTGTTTTCGGCCGACTCGTGAGGCCGACGTCGGCGCATCACGCATTCAAGGAATAGTCCAGAAAACACTTGGCTTTTCTCGCCATTAAAATACAATACGTTTTCAGGTAATTCAGTATTATCGGGCGCTGTCTAGGGGTGAAAAATTTCGTTGAGATTATGGCCAAGGGGATGTTTCGAAATAAACGGTTAGGAAAACTCATCTAATGAAAACTAGAGGAACGTGTTATTACAACTCCAACATCAAATATGGCTCTTATTTATCGCAAAAGACAATGAGAAACCAGTGTTTTAGTGAACATTTAATATTGTTAAGCTGAAATACGAGGTGCTGCACAATGGAAGAGGTAACGAAGTAATTCGCCTCATTCATTAAACAATTGCAATAGGGAAGTTAAGCATGATTCTAAAATGGGAGTAGGCTAACATCGGTAGGGTGACACAATAACAAGATGCTGTTTATTAGGCGGAAGCCAATCCTGATGAGCTTGACATTTTATTCATATGCATCGACAAATATTCTAGATCAAGTCCAATGGGGGACGATTGTTGGAGTCCGACGTTGAGCAGCTCGGCCTCCGCACAGTAGCGTCTAGTTGGAACCAGTACAGCTCTTCTAATGCGTGTATCGAGACTGTTTCCTTTCTTGTACAGAACACAAGTTCCGATCTCAATTAGAAAAGTCGCATGAGAGAATTTCATCAGGAGAGATCAGAAAACACTGATATGCAAAACACCATCGAGGTTCCTACAGGCCGTTGGGTGAAAGTTCACTTCCAGTTAATTCAGTCTTCGAAAGAAAGGACCGATCGATTTAAGGGCAACGGCGGACACACTTTTTTCGCTCTCCCTATTTTTCTAGCTTACCATTTCACATACATCTTAGAAAAAATGACTCTATTTCTTGATTGTGAGTAGTAGCTTGCAAAGAGGAACGTATTCTTCCAAAAGTTGATGTCTTGTTTTGTTTTTTTGTTTGTTGCTTAAGATATATATGATATGTGGAAACCTACAGTTGCGTTATCAGAAGAACGATAGTGCGAGGCCCAATGACACTCAAGGGTCGTGCAGCAACGATTGAGGCAGTCTTCAATATTTATATTTTCTGGTATGGGTCCACCACTTGTATCGATATTGCGGATTAGTACGCCAGGCTGGAGCATTATGAATGTGCAGGACAGAGCTGGAGCTACCTGAAAGGAAAAATGTGTTTGTGATCTCGTATCGCAAATGTAAACTGTGCAAAGAAGCGTATGTTTTTTATGGGTTATTGGTATTGCGCAATGCTTGTACTGTGACGGTACTTTCACTGATGAAGTACTCCTAATGGAGAGGGTTTACTGATCCGATATACCCAGTTCACTTCACCAAGAGCGGATGCGATGATTGCTCTGATTTAATCCTGGGTGTACTAACCTCCTCATCGCGTGGCAACATGCAGTGCTGCAATCGAAACAACGAAGCCGGTCTGAGTACCAGTCTTGCGACCATGATCCCAAGTCATCAATATTTGTTCAGCTGCTGGTTTCCGCAAGTGATTATGTAGGCGAACTCGCACTGTTAGACCACCAAGAGAAAGCAGAATTCCTTAGAGCATCCCGAGGAAACTGATAAACCTAAAAGGCTCCATATCCCAACGCATTTTTTCTTTTGCATCCGTAACATCCATATCGGTGCCAGTGCCTACCATTATCTAATAAATTCTACTTGCTACGACCGAAACTTCACCAGTTTGATCAAAGGCACTATTGCACTATTACAACCCCAGTGAGACCGATATGGGTCAAAAAATAATTTTCGCTGAAACTTTTGCTATGGGGGTTTTCTAGGGTCTTGATCACGAACAAATGGCACCGGCACTGCCGCCAAGTTGGCGCCAGTTGGCAACAGCTGGCGTCAAGGTGGCGCGTGTGCACTAGGCTGGACGCCTACAAATGTCGGTCACCAAAGTTCGCTGATAAACTTACTGAATAGGGTTATTTGCGGCCCTGACCTGCATACGAATTATGGACTACCTCATCCGATGTTCATCTTTTAAAGGCACGAGTCAGGCTCAGTGGACCAAACCAATCCCTTTAGTCGTCTTTGTGCATGGCTACGCACCCACAGAGACGTTACCATGCTCAGAATCCCGAACGGCGCCGTAATAAGGCTCCAGAGCAAGTATTAAGCGCTTTCGCCGCCTGGAGGCGCTCCGACCGCCCACCTGGGATGTGGTGCGTGGCTGGCATAACGTGTGAAATCAGCTAGGTTGATTGCCGTATCAACCGATAGAACGACTGATATCTTCAGAAAACTTGTTTGTACGTGCCTCTTTCCCAAGCCAGCCTCCTTCACTGCTAGTGGGAAAGAGGGTTTTGTTAACGGCCTTGTCGACGGTTTTTCTCAGTTTTTTCTCCACTGTCGTTCCACTTCGCATCTCTATACTCAGTTTCAATCGCCATAATACCCCCTTATTGAGCCCGACTTTTGCCTTTAATGCACATTTTCTGCTTTTCTAAGCTTTCTAACCTATGGCGCCTGAAACTAAGGTAAGCTTAGGGGAGGAAGGTGAAACCCTAGAGTGGGTAACCACGCACCGTGTGGCAAAAGTTGGAGTGTGTTAGACCACAGGGGAGTGGCCTACTCACTTTGGAGCCCTCCACTATTCAAAGGCTTAGTCCTGATTGCGATCTAATTAGTGCGAGGGCGCAGACGAGCAGGAAATAGGCGCCGAAATAGCGCTAACAACAAAAACGAATGTCATATTCGTAATCAGGACCCCAAATAACCCCTATACAGAAGTTTACAGCGAATTTAGTGGAATCAGTCGTGCGCCACCTGGCGCCAAATGGCGCCAAATTGGCGCCAGCGCCAAAAATGAATATCATATTCGTGATCAGGGCCCTCGATAACCCCCATAGCCGAAGTTTTCAGCGAAATTTTTTTTTTTGATTTTTCGTCCACCCTTACTGAAGGTCTGTAATTGACTGCAATAGTGCACCTAGAAAGTCTACTTAAAACAATTCAGCGAATGAATTGATCGACGTAGTCAACCTCAAATGTGAGAAGTACGGGGGGTTTTTGGGGGGGGAGGGAGAGTGAAAAAAGGACGCCAGTGGGAAAGAAGAAAAAAATCCGGTGAAATATACTAGTAATAACGAGCTTCAATGCTTTACCTGTGTAGGGTTCAAAAGGCAGGACAGGGAGAATATGCATGGCGCGAGGAGAGCTGTAGAGAAGTCACGAGTATCAAACATTACTACGCAGCACAAGATAGTCGAGCAAGTGGGCGGAAGCGTGCCGGAAACCTTAACGTCGTAGCGTCTATTAACGCTTTAGACGTTAGGATAGTGGGTGCCTTGTGCCACATTCGCGCATCCTATGCGCTTACTAGATCCACAAGCGCTCAATTAAGTTCTGGTCTTGTAGCCCGAGCCTTGCAGCAGCTGAAATGGAAATGGGGAGGGCCACTTCGGAATTCCGCAGGGCCAACATAGACACAGCGGCAAAAAGCAGAAAAGAAGCACAATACACATGAAAACTACTGGAATACTACCGTCCCTGATGTTTAGCACTATGGAATTCAGCGACGACGTTCGTATGTTGCGCATGCAGTTTCATCATTAGGCACTCGTATTGAACAAGTTTCGATCAAAGCGGTGAAATTTTGGCCGTAGAAAATAGTTTCGCGGTGATTCTTTTTCTCCAGGAAGAAAAATCTCGTATGGGAAATATGTACTTGAAACAAGATTTTTGTCGACAATTATGGGAAAGAAATCGATTGAAACAAACGACTCGATCGAAAGCGAGGGAAGTGCAGTCAGGAATTTTGTAACACTGCTTACAATAATCTTCAAGGCTAAAGTTGCTTTGTTTGGATTCACTATTGCAAATTTGTTGGTGAAACGTGTACTGAACAGCTGAAACTGCTTGAATAGTTGAACGCACGGTTGCCCGGGAATTTGCTTTTGGCAGTACTTCGCTTGCGAATGTTCCGCGAGAATGTCAATTTATCCTTGCTCTCACAAAGCTTTCATTCGTGAAGCTTTCAGCTTCGCGATCAATGTCGATATGGGCGAACCGGCTCGACACGCTCTCCGTGCGAATGCTGACAAGCTATGTATACCAAAAAAGTCTTGAGTTTGGATGAAATAGTGCCCCAGTAGCGTAACTTATAGTTGGCCGGTAAACAAAGGGTGCGGGTTCGAGTCTCGTCTGTGGCGATACTTTTGTTCACAACCTAGCCTTGTAAAGCAAAAACTGATTGATTAAAGGTCTGTTGCGCAAAAACCAGGTAATCTTCTGATGTGTTTGATTTTTTTACAGGAATGCTCCACGGCAAAAAACTTGACTCCATGCTCACATTGATTGTATTGAGAATAGGCAAAATCATGAGAGCAACTTATGTTACGTAAATTAGCTGCAAGCCGGGTAAAAATGCGTGTATGAAATAATCAGGAGATAAAGCTGCTTGGACTGATGATCATCATGAAATTTTACCTGGGAGAGATGCAGGAGCATGAAAAATGCTGTGACGCGAAGCGCAGAGAAGCACATTGTTACTAAAATTCACCACTGTCGGTTGAAGAGGGCGTCCAACCATGAGCACATTACCTCGAGGAAGAACACAAGCACAACGACCCATTAGAAAGCTAGTCGCCAGACGGATGTATTGTGTTGCTAGACTTTCTCAATTCAAGTAGATGTGTCCCACATTAACTGGGCTCCAGTTGCTTGAAAAGACGTTTATTGCACTCAACTATTATTCCTCTCCTGCTTCGCCGTGGTCTGCAATAGGATATGGTAGTCTCAAAGCTCTTTGGATGAAAGTGCAGCTTAACATTGTCACGAGGACCGGTCAAGGTTCCTCAAAACAAACTTAATCTTCACCTCATCACAGTACAATCGTCACCTCATTGACCATCGTTTTGGAGAACACTGAAATGCATATTCTACCATCCTTGACAGCTCTTCCGAGATGGGTTGCAAAGCAATCGAAGAAAGATTGTGTCATTACATTCAACGAAAATACTGCCAAAAACACTTTAAATAGTTCGGCAGGCTAAGCTCCATTTTAGCAACTTGCGCTCCGCACTACGAGAGTCTCATTGGTTGATCTTACCTCTTTACCGTACTTTCCCGTACTTCATTGTGTTAAGTGCAAAGACTGATGAATCTTTCTTCTGTAGAATGAGAACAAAAACGATCGTCGCTAGCAAAACGATTCTTTGGCGCGCCGAATTGGTTCCACCGTAACCCGCGTTGGCGCTGGGGCACGCAGTGCCACATGTTATCTACTTGCTTTCAACGTGCCCTGCTGTCGATTCCTCTGCCTACTACGCGACGAGAAAATGGACGGCAACTGTGGAGCACAATTGCTTTTGAAGGTGAGTGTAGCAGCGGAATAGTACAGCCGCATGGTGAATGAGGCACATTTGGGTGCTCTCCTCGCCTGCAGGTGTGGTAGTGAGCCAATAGTGAGCCGCTCTCGATCGAGCTGGTTACCGGGTTTAGGTAATTCATACAAATTGGAGAAGTTGTTTGAATGTTGGTGCACCATGCGTTATTTAGCGCACATAATTTTTGACGTTCATGCGCATTCGAGGGAGCAACGTGAGAAAAATTAGCTGCAAACTGATTGGATGAAGGCCTAAAAAATGCTAGGCTAAAAAAAGCGGCGCGCAAATTGACACTAAATTTCGGTTCATGAAAACGTGTGGGGAAAATCTTCCACAGATTGATTGCCAGCAAGGGGAACTGACACTTCAACGGAAGCTTACTTATTTAATTCAGATTCAAATTCTAAAGGAATCGAACTATACTAGGCGGAATTCTTCCGTAAAATAAAAAGCTAAAACAGCACTCATAGTGGTGACAGTGTCTGAAATGCGCCAGGCACTACGATCGCGGTGTAATTGGTCGTAAATGCATTCGGATGTGCACATATGTATACTGTGTCTTTACTCTTTCCCAGCATAAATTTATCTAATCAATTGGTAATGCTCTGCCAAAACTGTCTTTTGAAGGTCGTGAATGTAAACCAAGTGCTAATGACGCTGACCACCTTTCGCCATAATTTCAAGGTCTTTCTTGAAATATCGTCATAGTCCTATCCGCTTTTTTTTACGCCCACAACATAACTAACGTAATGCAAACTGCTATAATTTTGATTTTTCACAACTAATTTCTTGTTTTTCATAAATTTTATTTATTCTTGCTTATTTTTTTATGTTGTCATTTAATTGTAATACTGGATGACGGATTCGCGGTATCTGCGACGTGGAAGTAACCCTCAGTACTGAGCTGACAAGTAGAAAGGAAGGTTTATTTAAATCAGAAAAACAACAATAAATAGGCAATGAAGATCACGGGTTGTATGATGGAGGGCGACGTATGTCGGGACCGGGAACCACTGAACTGAGGTCTGCAACCAGATGCACGGCGCACTCCCTCTTCTATGGTGAGCCACAAAGGCTATCTCCCCCCGAGCCACTAAGGCTCTTCCCGAACTGAGCCACTGAGGCCAAATCACCGAGCCACTAAGGCTTCTCACTCACGGCCACTGAGGCCAACTACCTGAGCCACTGAGGCTCTCACTCTTCAGCCACTAAGGCTACCTGACTGAGCCTAGGCCCTCCTTCCTCCGGGCCGTACAGCTCCCAACCAACTAAACTGCTGAGGCACCACACAGATGCCACGACGACAGGAACACTGGAGCTGGAGCGCTGGAACACCGGAACTCGGAACTGGAACCACACTGCGAGGAGAACCCGGACCCCTTTTATTGGGACCTTCCCGCGCCAATCAGTTGCCTCTGGCAAGGCGGTCTCCCATGACCACCCACGATCAACAACCACCGCCTCCTCCTCGACCTACCGTGCTCAGATCAGCTGATCATAGCTGATCTCTTAAGGCATGCATGTCTCTCCCTGAATAATGTGTATTTTTTATTGTTATATTACTTATTGTTTGTATTGTTTTGTTGGGTTTTTCTTTTTTCTTTCTTTCTAATGGGACCTAACTCCATGGGCCGTGTGACCAGTGCATTCCGCCACAACTGACGGCATGTCTTTATAGACGTGTATAATAAATAAATAAATAAATAAATAATTATTATTTTTTTGGTCCCTCTGCCTACCAATTTCCGAACAGCTCTTGCACAAATGCAATTAATGTTGTTGCATGAGATGAAAGCAATGTGCCGAAGCTTTTTATTAGGCAAGCTAAACAGGAAATGAGAGGAGCGCTTGAAATTCCTCAGGATCATACAAACACAGCACAGAAGCATGAGAAAATACAATGATATAAAACGGAAAGTGTAGCATTGCATTGCGCTGCATGTTCAGTACGATCGATTCAAGCGGCGACCGTTGTTTTTTGCGCCATCCACTGTTTGACTGTTGGACAACTCGTAATGGTCACGTTTCGATCGAACTTGTAGATTTCCGGACGATATGATTCGGGTATTGTTTCGTCTTGCTCTCCAGGAACAAAAACTTCGCAAAACTGGATCTAAAAACAGGCTTTTTTGACGGCCATAAGTAAGAACGTCATTCGAAACGAACCGTTTGTTCGAAGGAGACAAAAATGCAGCCTGGGGTTGTGTAGCAATATGAGAAACAAATTCCAAGACCAGCGCCAGGCCCTTCCAGTGCATAAAATGCGGCGCTTCAGTTGAGTCAAAGCGCTGTTGGTGTATCAAAGTGACAGTGAAAAGTGAAGGGTCAGACGGGAGTCACCTGAAATACCAAAATTGCCTGCATCAGAAATTAGGTTGATCTTTTGCTATGCTTATTTATTTTCTATTCCCTCCTCCATTGGACTTGTAATAAATGAAGCAAAACCTCACAGGACAACTCAAATTACGGTAACATAGTCCCAATCCGGTCAGGAGGACGGTAATTGAGGATTCCAGAGGCAGAACTACTGAACCGATGGCATCTTACCTGCGAGAGATACAGGAGCATGGTGAATGCTGTGACGCGAAGCGCAATGGAGCACATTGTTCCTGAAGTTCACCTCTGTTGGTCGAGTTCGTAGAGCGCGTTCAACCCTGAAGTCACCTTACCTCGAAGGGCCGCTGCGAGCACAATAACCAAATGGAAAGCCAGTCGCAAGGAGGAATTGTGTTGCTAGGATTCCTAATTCGAGCGGATTAAAATCCTATTATTTCGACCACTTTCCAGTGAAATATACGGCACGCATGTCCCGAAGAGACTGAAGTGATGTCGTTAATATTCGAACCTAGGAGACGAGATTTGACTTCCTGGAGACGGCAGACAAATCTGTTCGGCACTAAAAAGTGTCTTCGAGGTTTACTATATCGTAGGCTCCGTCCTTAACACGAGTCCTGAGGCAAAAATTGGCGGATCATGCTCAAGGAATAATTTAGAAAATGGTTATCTATCAAAAGAATGCGATGGAAAAATTCAGAAAACCCCGCCTCACGGAGGTCTACTTATATAGCCTCTCTCTTTCCCGTGCTGCTCCATAATTCACTGTGTCAAGAGCAGGGTGGAAATCGTGTAGTGGAGAAAGCCGCGCCTTCTCGACCCCCCAGCCCTTAACAGAGCCCCCTCCCTACCCTAAGCAGGTATTAAAGCAGACTTCACGACCTCAGTTGTTAACGAGCTTCCGGTACGACACTCCTTCACCCTACGCACACCCGGTTTTAGTAAAGGAAAATGTTACACAGTGCGCGTCAGTTGCTTGTGCCAAACCCCGATTTTCAGTCTTCTGACTTGTTTGGAAATTTCGTAAATCGGCTTAGCTAACCATCGTTTCCGGCATCTCAGAAATGAGCTCGACGTTGACTGATTTTGGTTAACGCGGGAATCTCAATTGCTTTGTTCTTCTTCTTGTGATGCCATCCTAAAACTTCTTCGGAATTTCTCATTCTCTAACGCTATTCAGCTACGGTGTGCATGTAATACAAATGAGGAAATCCTCCACTTATGCAATGCACACAAATGGTGGAGCATTTATAACTAATTAGTTCGGAATATTAGCCCTTATACTGGACGGTAGCAGCATGAAAACGCTTTATCAGAGAAAGAGCTGTGTGCTCACTTTTGCGATCGCTCCTGCTGCTTATTGTAGAACTCATCGAGGAGTGTATCAGGCAAAACTGGAGGAATTTGAAGTGCTCAAGTAGCCCTCAAATTCACATTTTCCCGCTTAGAATCCGTGGTCAACTTTATTTGTGGTCTCGGCTCCCGCGAAGCTCGAAGCGTTCACGCTCACAAAGTCTCTGTTCAGAGAGAACATGACTCGTACCTACTACCGTCTGGTACCCATCACTGAACTCGATCGAAGTTTTCTTATCAAGGCGATGCAATGATGGCCCATGCCACCACTTCGGTGTCCCGTTCAAGTTACAACTGGCCCATGTCATCATTTTCGCTCACTTGGTACGAAAATTTTTCCAGAGAGAATCCGATCAAGTTCGGCGATGGGTACTAGGCGGATTGTGAGTACGATTCATATTCTCTCTGAACAGAGACTTTGTGAGCGTGCACGCTTCGAGCTTTGCGGGAGTGACGACTGTGAGTCGAGACCAAAAATAAAGCTGACCACGGATTCGATGCGGAAAAAAAGAGTTCCTTGAGCACTTCAATTTCCCCAGTTTTGCCTGGATACACTCCTCGATGAGTTCTACAATAAGCAGCAGGAGCGATCGCAAAAGTGAGCACACAGCACTTTCTCTGATAAAGCGTTTTCATGCTGCTACCGTCCAGTATAAGGGCTAATATTCCGAACTAATTAGTTATAAATGCTCCACCATTTGTGTGCATTGCATAAGTGGAGGATTTCCTCATTTGTATTACATGCACACCGTAGCTGAATAGCGTTAGAGACATGAGAAATTCTGAAGAAACTTTAGGATGGCATAAGCAATTGACGCGGCCCATTTTCTTCAAAAGAACAGAGCAATTCAAATCCACGCGTTAACCAAAATCAAACAACACCATTCTTAGTTTTCCGACACGCCGAAAACGATGGTTGCTATGCCGATTTACGAAATTTCCAAATAAGTCAGAAAACTGAAAAAATCAGGGGGTGGCATATACAATTGACGCG